CTTATTAGAACAGATGGCTGGGTCCCACCCCCAGAGTTTGATTCAGTAGGTCTAGGGTCAAAAATCAGTTGCTGTTTAGTCAATTGTGACTCATGGCCACTCCAGGTGCATCAGAGTAGAGCTGTGTTACCTGTGGTTTGCAATGACTGATTTCTCAGATCACCAGGCCTTTCTTCTGAGGTACCTCTGAGTAGACTTTAACCTTCATCCTTTTGGTTAGCAGTCAAGCAAAGTACTACCCAGAGACCCTAGGCCTAGGATTATGTTGTTGTTGGGTACCAGTGAGTACATTCTGACTTACAGCAAATCCCTGTGACAGAGTAGAAATGGCCCTATAGTGGTCTAAATTATAATCTTTACAGAAGCTGACCTCCAGGTCTTTCTCTTACAGACCCACTGAGTGAGTTCAAACTACCAACCTTTCAGTTAGCAGCCAAGAGCTTAAACATTGTGCCACAAGGGCGCCTTCTGGCCTAGAACCCAAGAACTAGTATTTCTAATAAGCTCCTTGATGCTGCTGAAGCTGCAGATACAAAAACCCAAATAGTTCTCAGATGTGACCAAACAGAGCTGCCAACTGCTCCATCTTCCAAGCCAGTGAGTGACGTTTGACCTTGGGCTGGTCCAATTTCAGGGCTGCTTTTCCCCCTTCTCCCACAAGCCTGGCTGGTCTCCAAGTAAAGCACTTACAGGGAGGGCCTTTGTCAAACCAGAGAGCATGTTCCACCTGAAAACATTTACATTCAAAGGTTTTTAAAAGCTGTTCTGTCACACACTGATCTGCGCCCCCAGGTGGCCATTTTGTGCTGACTTCCAGGGTCAGCTTCTGCCTGGTGATATTCCTTCAGGGACCATGTCTTCTGCCTGCCTTCAAACTTTGCACCAGTGGTGGTCAGAAATGAGGAGGAAAAATCTAGCGGAATTTTAACCTCTTTCTGCAAGCTTAAGCCAGAGACAGGATGCCTTCCTACCACCCCACCTCTAGGGAAGCCGGGGCGCAATGTTGTTCCCACTTGACCTCCTAGTCTGAGGACAAAATAAAGATGTGCAAAGGGGAGGCAGATGGGTAAGATGTGACAGCGATGTGATCAAGCTCCTCCAGTACAACTGGTTAGAGACTTCAGCTAGAATGAGGACTCTCGGGGATGTTTGTTTTTTTAAATATTTTAAAATGGAGTCTACTTAACTTTCTTCCATAACTATGCCCTCATGCCAGGATAGTACCAGGGGAGCATTTATGACCTTTTATAGGAGAGGGCACTTGGAGTCCCAAAACTGATGGTGAGTGACCCCATCCTCAATTCTCCTTGGCTTCTCAATGAAAGTGAGTGTGTATGTCACTTTTTGAAAATTAAGCTAAAAAGTACTTTAAATACTCAGGTGATTACAGCTGAGGCATTGGTGAAATTCAAACTACCAAACTAGTTTCCCTGGCACATGGGTGAGAGCTGCCTGCAGAGCTGAATGGAAACAGCATAGCTTAGTGGTATTGCTAGGAGAAGATGATGAACGGCCGTGAGAGCTTGGATGAATAATCAGGCCACAGACAATCGCTTCTAACTTTTATTGTACAGATAAAAGAGCCTACAAACTCAAATCGGAGTTACAATAAATCTATGATGTTCAATTCAATGAGTTTGTTTTGTTTTAAAGATGAAAAAAAAAAAAAAAAAATCCATAGCGACCCCTTCTTGTGTTTCTGAGGCAATATCTCTACAGAAGTAGATTGTCCAGCCTTCCTTCCAAGAAGGGGCTGGTGGGTTTGAACCACCAAGCCTTCTGGTTAGCAGTCAAATGGCTTAGGCACTATGCCACCAGAGCTCCCTGTTTTAGTGATACACAAGCATTAATTCTACATATGCCCAGAGATGAACTGTTTTAGATTTGGGTTTCATGAGGAATTCAGCTTGGTATCTAGTGTAACTATGTTTTTGGCACTGAAAGACCAATAGTTTTCTATTTATTGCAAAAACACTTAGGCTGACACAGGTGAATCAATAGGAAGTCTCAGGCCTTGTTGACAATGCATGAAATCAATAGGAATTATGAGTTTTCAGTTTACAGTTGTGAACTAGTCAAGGATTTCAATTCATTAATTCAGAATGAAAAACTAATCTGGAGTATACAACAGAGGAGAAGTCCAGAGCCTGAAAAATTAGGCCAGTGGATCCGAGGTAAGGGAACCCCCTTCCCAACAACTACATGGTAATGAGCAATGATAGGCCAGGCCTGAGAGGCACCTGATGTAACACTGAACTGAAACCTCCTGGCTCCTGAGTCAGTCCCATCAGGGCAGTGTGTGACCGGCGGCAGCCCTCTCCTCTCTTCCTGCGTCCCTCTTTCCCTCTCCCATGTGCACAGGGAGATTTTACTGTAGTAAATCTAAAAGGATTAAAAAAGGCTCACTCTTTAATTCCAAATACTGAACAGTTCATAGCCTTAAGGATTTTTCTGAATAGAGAATAAAATACTATGCTTGATACTACGCACTAGAAAGTTAGCAGCTTAATAACTTACCAAGAACTATTTAAAATTCACACACCTGATTTTCAAAGAATTCTTTCATCAGTCTCATTTATTACAATATTTTTTAGCTTTGCTTCCAGCACAACACAATGAAGTATTACAATGATTTGTATCATTGCACCAGCATATACAAATACAGAACATATGTGGCAAAATAAATATATCTGAAGTGGTGATCCAAACATAAAATTGATAAAGGAATTCTCTTTGAAGGTGTAATCATTTTTCTCCAATGTACCAGGTATGGTATCTATTTGTTCTTCATCACATATGATAAACATTTGATGACTTGTCACCACGAGTGATTCGTTTCCACAGGCCAATTTTAAAATGTGTGGTCCAAATACAGCATTCTAGAGTATCACCTCAGGGTTACTGGGTGATAGTCTTGTATGCAGAGATAATACACAGAGATAAACACACTCCCATGTGTGTGAGCGCAGCCCATGTACATAATTTATGTTCAGAAGCTCCAGCGCAGGTGTTAATGTTACAGCCTCTCTAGGCCACACACTTGGATCTCCACATAGATCTGAGAGTGTGACTTTCTAGAAGGCATGCTCTGTTTCAGAGTGCAGGCGGTGGAATTTTAAGGTACATCAAAAGTAGGTGTTCAAAGTTACATGCTCTCAAACCTCCACTTGGAGTGTGGATTATAGCTGGTTGCCCTGATAAAGGGCAGGGGGTGCTCTATTCAATCTCATGACCAAAGTTCCTCCCAGGTGCAAGGGAGACACTATGTGAGGCTTTGTAGACCCACAAATTTACAGTTAGTCCACAACAGTTACAATTCACTCAAAAGTACCCTGGTGACAGGAAGAATTAAAGTAGGCTCTACGATCACTAATGAACAAGCCCAGAGTAGTTTCGGCAGAACTATTTGCAAAAATATGTTTAATGCCTCCAAAAGGGAATCTGCACATGCATGTATGTGTTTCTATGCAAATTCAGGATCACCTGCACACAGGTCTGTCTGTCTGTCTCTGTATGTTGACATGAACCCTTAAGTAAAAGCATCCATTGCTGACAGAGACCGCCCATCACAATGAAGGCAACACCTACAGATTTTCTTTCACAGAAAGAGTAAAATCTCATCAGACTTTTCCATTTTGTTCCTCCTAGGACTCTAACAATGTAATTTAAATACGAAAACATTTCAATCACTGGAGTACAACACTCTTTAGAAAATAATACTTCAAAAAGTAAAGCAAAATCTTTTACCAAAATAATTTTCACTTTTCAAATTGTTCTCTCACAACCCAATTTAATAAATAAGTAAAAGAATCACCTTCTATGAGCTTAAAGAATGTCACTCAAATGATTACTTATCCATTTACCTTTAACCTGAGGAAAAATGACTAAGAAAAAAAAGGATTACTCTGAAATTTCAAAAGAGGGTCAGTCTTACGAGATATACAGAATAAGGCTCTTTGGATGGTCTGACATATATATTTTTAAATTTATTAATGACACTTGTAATAGAATATGGCTAAATCATTTATAACAGCAACCCAATCGGAGTAAAGTAATAAATAATATCTACAAAAAATATAATTTAAACTTCTTGAAATTATTTTCTTAAAACCAACCAATTTTTTTGAGAGTTCCCAATAAAAATCAACATCATTATCATTTGGCATAAATTCTGTTCAAGTCCCTATTCCAGCATCATCTTGCGAGGTAAAAGGATGCTGGCAGAGTACTGAACTGACTCAAAATACTGCCTTAGTAATATTGACTATAATTTGAAGGTAAGGCATTGCAAAGTTACAGAGAGCTAGAGGAAGCACATTCGAAATACAATGACTGCCACAGATGCATTAAGGCATAAATATTGCTGCCTTTAGCCATAAGAATGGGGAAGGCGGCATCCACCAATTACTTCAGTTATCTTTAACCAAAGTAATTAAAGAAGAACTTATCACCTAAAACCTAGACCAATAGGCAAATACTGCAAGGGAACATTCCCAAGGTCAACACCTAGAACTAGTATGGTTCCGATTCCTTCAAAGAGGCCTCAGATTCAGATCTTTTGGCCCTTCACGGTGTTCTCAGCCCTGTGCAAAAGAGGGTGGCACAACACTGTGATAAATAAAATGTGTCCCCTCCCTCACTCTTTACCAAAAATAGTACAGATCTGGCTTTCCTCAACTGATACTGTCATCAGCAGTGACAGCCCTCTGACAATCACCCTCTGCTTGGGTTTTTTCCTAGGCCCATATTGCACATGAACCTATAATCACTACAGCAGTCCGGGAATGCCACGTTGTAACTGGCTTTCAGTCCTAACTGAGGGCTTTCCACACTATGAATGTAGCCCGATTCCTCGCCTGTAATACATCTTTCATAGTTCACTTAGAAATGCTACCTCTCCCCCAAGGCAGTGAAGGTGGGGAGATGTTTCTAAATTCCTTCTGTTCTTAAGCAAATGACTGCACATCAGTCTCCCGAGTTCCAGCCCCATGGTTCACAAAACCTGTCCTTTAATGTGTGATGCCCAGTCTTCTGCCATGATGTCAAGAGGTTGTTTGGTACATTTTATGTTGAGGCAGAATGAACATCCTGGTTTTCAAAAGGTGGCAGTGGCTCTCTCCAAAAGGTGAAATTACTGAAAGTATCTGAGCAGGGAAAGTCTGAAGAATGGCTTCTTTTCAGTAATGGGAAAACATGGTCGACCACTTCACACAGTCTCACGTACCTGGAAGGAAAACGGAAATCATCATTGCCACTGAGGGACACCAGCCAACCCCAGCCACAGTGCACAGCTACCAAGCACCTAGCACCATGCTTACAAGTTAGGACAAAGAGATGACCCTGTAGCTCTCAAAGAGCTGACCACTTACAATGGAAGAGTTCTGGAATAATTTTTTACAGATCAATAGGAAATCAGAGAAGCAATCAAAGAGAATGCAAAGGAATCAGAAAAAAGTGGGACTTGGCTAAGGATGAAGGGGAATAGAGCAAATTAGGACAGAGGAAATTAGCATGGTGAGGGGACAGCCACTTGACTTGCCATGGAGGTCACATAGGGAGTATCAACAGAAAAGATTCACGGATAAACTACATCTTTGGACCACCAAAGAGATTGCCTCACTGTACAAGGAGAAAACACTGGGCCCTGAGGTTAAGGAGACACAGATTTGATCTTTAGATCTGCCACTACCAGCTGTGTGATCTTGGGAACATGACTAATCTCTCGAAGGCTCAATTTCTGCAATTTTGACAGAAGAATAATGAAGACTGTGTCACAGGGTTGTCATGAAAATTAAATAAAATAATGTATGCAACAATGCCTGGCCCATATGGGGCGCTCACTGAAGTTATGCAACAATAACTTTTTAACATGTCTCAGGAAAGAAGTCCTGGTTGGCATGAGGGTCAAAAAACCTGGAATCTACTCCTGACTTATTTGCTGTGTAACCTTGAACAAATGCTTTGCCTTCTTTGAACTTCAGGAGCTACATTTTTATAGCATGTAGAGTTGGACTAGGTCAGTGTTTCTCAATATGCTCTAGAATATTCTCTCACTCTGTTTTCTATGTCTTAAAGAAGATACTGCATTAGTTATTTTGACTTCTATTACCAAAAATTGAAGTTGCTACATAAAGCATGCATTTTCAGACTACCTGGTGCCTCCAACCAGAGATGTGGACGCACGCAGCCCTCTCCTACATACCCACGGACTCCTCCTTGACAATCACTGGCTCCCTTTCTAGTTCCAATTTCCTAAGAACCTAGAAGGAGCTTTTGAAGTCCCAACTCCAGGAATTAGCATGTTCTGAGGCATAAAATAACATTAAATAAGAATGAATGTGTGTATTTAATAAAGGACCTCCAAAGGACTTATGAGAAATATTGTGCTTGCACAAAATGGGAAAATCTCTCTTAATAAGCAAGTATTATGTCTTTTCTGGGGATTAAAACAAACAAATAAAATTAAAAAATACCTCCTGGCTTTAAGGCCTACTTGTTTGAGTTTTATGGCCAGGGGAGGACGGTCCCCCCTTCAGGGAGTAGTTCGTTGCCAGGCTGTGGGCACCAGATCCATAATCACTCTCACGTGCTGAGTGGCAGAGCCCAAATCCCATCTGTATGCCTCTTTCTGGCCTGTCCTTCACACACAGTGCTCCTTCAGAATAAGCAGGGTTCACATACTGACATTCACAAATGGAAAAAAGCACTAAACCTCTCCATCCTGCGTGGACCCCTACTCAGTAAAGACATCTCACATGATTTCTCAGATAGGGTCCTAGGCTCTGAGGAGCAAGCACCTACTTGGCTTAGAAGTGATTCAGTACCAAGTTCAGTGCCAGAGAAATGTGTGTGCCTCCCTGGGGAGAATTACTTTCTTACAGGGACAATCACATCTCCCAGTGTGAGCACTATATAAAAACATTCTTTGGTAATATATACAACAGTCTTCATTCATACAGAGATCCATGCTCCATTCTATGGGCAAAGCATGCATCTTAATTCCAGAATATCAGCAAATGGAAACCCCTCACAGTCTTCTAGGCAAACCCTCAAATGCTGGAATTCCTCTTTCCATGTCCCTCATGACATGGCTGCCACTTGCCTGCTGTCTGGGCAGACTCCTTTGCCATTTCCAGGCAGCACCAATCAGTTGAGAGGTCTTTTTGACCCTATAGAGAAACCTACCAGGTCTTTTCCACACTAGGGAGACCCTTCCATGTGGGGAAAGGGAACTCTGACACTGCCAGGGGTGGCCATTTTTAATGAAGGAAGGGGAAGAAATTGCAAGGACAGCCTTGCTATTGTTCTACAGATCAGAAAGCAAGCTGACTCTGACTTTGTTGAAAATGGAGGAGACTCTTGGCTCTATCTTCCCTTCTCCCCACACCCTTTGAGAATTGCTCCCTCTGCCTGGAACTGAATTAGCCACCAGTGGCTGTAAGAATCATCTTAAAAGTGAAAGTCTGCTCTGGAGGGAATCTACATTTCTGCTCTGTCCAAAGCCACATGAGGTACCTGGAGAAGACAAACCCTAAGAAACCACCAGAACCAAACTCCCCAAGTCTGACTCTGCCAGGTAAGGAAGGCTCTGACAGGGGCACTGTGGTCACTCATCCAGAGGCTATATTCCAAGTCTGTATAGATCAGACCAAAGGTGGTCCAGCCTCCGGAATGAACGAGGCAGGATGACACCATCTGCCTGGGCAAAACACAACCAACACATCTCTCACAGAACAAGGAGATGTTCTCCACTCCAAGAAGTAAGGAACTCAAAGGGAGGCATTTTAGAATCAAGAGTGATCCTACAACCAACTAGAATGCTTCATTCAAAGGAGTAATCCAATGTAGCCCAATGAGTCGGGGAAACTGGGTTTTGACCAAAAATATAAGAGGAATTCTTAAAACTACACAACGTTACTGGTAAGAACATTATTATAGGTCAGGATGTGAAGACAGAAACAGCTCCTCATCTTTAAATATAGCTTCAAGTGGCATTTCAATTTCGTTAAATTTCTAATTCACATGCTAGGCTTGCAAAACTAACTGGCAAATCTGACCACAAGTTTTTTAAATTCATTCAATTCCCTGCTGTAGCAACATCTAACCACTGGCTTAAATTTTAGACCCAGAGGGAAAATGATTCAATTTAAATTGTCCAAAAATTAATTTTTGGGAAAAAAGAAAAAAAAAGTTAAAATATATTTTTCATTGTAGGAATTAAATATTAAAATACAAGCAACAAATAATAAAATGTATCCTGTAAACTGTAAAACACTATTCTAAGATTAAAGGGACGGCAAGAGCAGTACCAGAGGTTCACGATACTCACGATGAGATGTTGGTCTTTGCATGTTCCTGAACTAGTTCTCCTTTGGGATTGACGGTGAATATTCTATTCAAAGACACTCCGACTTGCTTGTATGAATATACATCCTGTATTTGGCAAAGCCCATTGAAAGTGTTAATTAAAAAACTGTAAAAACAAATACATGAAAGTTCTGATTTTCTACAGTATTATAAAATTTTCATTAACCAAGTTATATCTCCAAATATCATAGAGAAAGAGTATCTTTTGATGTAAAACTATTAACTCCATTTTCTTCTCTGGGCCTCTCAGTTCCCTCATCTGTTCAAGAACTGAGTTAAAGGGTAGACAACCCACCACATCCCCTGAAATTCTAACATTCCTTAAGATTATTATTCTCTGACCCATTTTCTATATTATGATTTCAAACCAAGAGAATTTTCTTGTTGGGCAAGTAGTACCCAACTCTATTACAGGTCAGTTTGTGAAGAGAAGAACAGATTCTCCAGAATGCTTAACTTTCCAGTACATCTGGACAGTGCATACACTGTCTCAAAGCATTTGTGACAACATGTGAAACAATACTATTGCAGTGCAGTAAATTACTTAGTGTGGCTTTTCTACCCATAAGTCTTTGTAAACTCCAAGGTGGGATTTGCTATGAGCAACTGAGGAGCTCCTGATTGCTGAAGGTGTCCACCTGGAGTATTTCTGTTGGGAGTGGCACAAAACAATGTTCTGGGAGGTTCCCACTCTCTCTTAGGTGCTTAGAGTTTTGATGCTATGATTGGCTAGTTTGACCACCCTGCCGGGCTCAAAAGGAGGCCTCCTAGAGGCAGAACTCGCTCTCTGACTGCTGGTGGAGGAAGACGTGCTGCTGAAAGAGACACGGGCTCCTGAAACACACGCTGCTGGGAAAGAGACACAAGAGACACACATTGCTGAGTGAGATACCGAGGGACCAGCACTGCTGGGAAAGAGACTGTGAGAGACTCTTGGCTGAGGGACGGTGGGCTGGGAGAGAGACTGAGCATTTTTTCCTGAATTTGAGTTGTAGTCTGTGGTGCTTCCCTAATAAATCCCATAATCTAGTGAGCTCTGTGTGGCCACTGCAGCGAATTATTGAACCCAGGAGAGAGGTGGTGGGTGCTTTGGGAGGAACGGTTGGTGAAAGGGCTGGAGGGAGGCAGCATGTCTGGCCTTGTAGGAATAGGCCTTGGGTTACTGCTGGTAATCCTGTCTTCCTCTCGTGGGATTAGAGGAGGTCAGAACACGTGGCCTCCTTGCCGTTTTAGCAACTATATTATACTAAAATGCTGAATCACTGTGCTTAGCCTTGGCTTGGAAGTTCTCTTCTGATAGAAAGGGTCTAACCCTATTATATGTTATGCTTAGCAAGCAAATAGCCACATGATTCAGAGAATACCCAAATGGGCTAGAGTTTGCTGTTTAAATTGAGTAAGTACGTGAGACCAGGTACAATTTGGAGCTTCTAGCCCACATTTCATGCTTCAAATTGAAAGCAACTTGCCAACCTTTAAAGAAAACTAGAGTTCATGAGCTACTTTAAAATCTCTTTTCCTTTCGATGTAGGCAAGTGGCTATTTACCAGGCCATTTCTTGTAGCATAAAGGCTAAGAATCTGGCTTTCTTCATAACTTCAGGCCAAGGATTTCAGATACTAGCTGTCAGAAAAGGTAGTAATTTCAAGAGTTCTGATAGATCCCATCTATTACTTACAGCTGGTCGGTTTCCAAAAGCAGCATAAAAGGGTTCTGTATTTGGAAAAAACAGATTTTTGATGTCTGTCAAACATTGGACTTTAAACTTTTCTGGCTTCTTTTCAATCACTTCTCTGTTAAAGAAAGAAAGAAAGGATCAGAATGAGAAGATAAGCTTCATTAATAGAAACACCATTTTTAACTTTCAAAAGCTGCCATGACTCTAAGAACATTTTCCCATCTTCAAAAATTAAACATGTGTAAGTCAGTCAGCTGATCCCACCCAAAAAAGCAACAGATATTGAATCAGTACCTTAAAGGCATTCTACAAGGGGAAAAAAAAAAAAAAAAAAGCACTACAGAAGAGATTTCACTGAAAAACCAATTCCAGAGCATAGAAAGAGAAAAGCATTCCCAAATTCCTTCTATGGGGGAGCATAACCTCAAAAACTAAACCTAAAAAAGAAAAGTACAAGCAAAATGTGGGCCAATCTCATTTGTGAATGTAAATACAAAATCCTAAATCAATACACATATTTAAACTGACCCCAGCCACTAAAAAGCAGCTGCCATTGAGTTAATTCTGAATTATGGTTCCCCCGTGTGTCCAAGTAGAATGGTACTACCTAGGGTTTCTAATGGCTGATTTTTCAAAAGCAGACTACAAGGCCTTTCTTCTGAGGCACTTCTGAGTGAACTTGAACCTCTAACCTTTTGTTAGAAGCTGAGTGCTTAACATTCATGGCATGCAAACTCTGCAAAGGACCCCGGCAGGGAATCAAAGGGAAGTTTATTACAGGAATGCTAGGCAATTTAATACTTAAAATTGATTAACGTAATATAAATTTTAAAGGAGAAAAAACATGAGCATTTCAATAAATACACAAAGACTATTCAATGTAATTCAGCATCTAATCAGGATGAAAACCATTTGTACTACCTATTTAATAGTGAAATAATGGTGGACATTCTCACTATTTCAATTCAACACTGTACTGCAGGACCTATCCAATGTAGTGAGGTAAGAAAAATAAATCAAAGTTATATGGATTGGAAAGGAAGGAAAAAAAAAAAAACTATCATTATTCACACAAACATATTTAAAAAAAAAAAAAAAAAAACCTATGTACACAGAAAACCCAAAGATCCTACAGATGAAATATCAGTACTAGTAAGAGTTCAATACAGTTCTTGGCAACAAAATCACTCTACAAAAAACAACTGCACTTTCACGCATCAGAAACAAATAGGTAGAAACATAATTCTGTAAATGAATAAAAAACCAAACTCACTGAAACTGAGTAGTATCCAACCCATAGTGACTCCTCCTTCAGTTTCCGAGGTGGTATCACTATGTAAGTAGATTGCACAACCTTCCTTCTGAGGAGTGACTGGTGGGTTTGAACTGTCAGCCTTCTGGTTAGCAGTCAAATGCCTTAGGCACTATGCCACCAGAGCTCCTAAGTCTGTAAATAATATTTTAAAACATCAAGTATCTAGGAATAAAGCTTCAAAATGTAAAAAAGTGAAGATGTCACTTTGAGGACAAAGGTGTGCCTGACTCAAGCTATGGTATTTTCAGTCCCTTATATGCAACTGTCAGCTGAATGATGAGTAAAGGAGATCAAAGAAGAACTGATGCATTTGAATTATGGTGTTGGCGAAGAATACTGAATATACCATCGACTGTCAGAACAACAACAAAAAAGTCTGTCATGGAAGAAATACAACCAGAATGCTCCTTAGAAGCAAGGATGATGAGACTTCATCTCACATACTTTGGATGTGTTATCAGGAGGGGCCAGTTCCTGGAGAAGGACGTCATGAATGGTAAAGTAGAGGGTCAGCAAAAAAGAGGAAGACCTTCAATGAGACGGATGGATGAAGTGGCTACAACAATGGGTTCAAATATAGGAATGACTGTGAGGATGGCACAGGACTGAGCAGTGTTTCATTCTGCTGTACATGGGGTCATTGTGGGCTGGAACTGACTCAACAGCACCTAACAACAATAACAAGGAATAAATCTAACAAAAGATGTGCCAAGCATTTATGAATTGAATTACATAACTTTACTGAAATACAAGACCTAAGTAAATGAAAAAATATATCATATTATTGAATGGAAGATTCAATAATATATTGAGAAAGAATTACCCTAAATTGATGTACAGATTCACTGTAATTTTACTGCACAAAAGACAAGAACAGCCAGCACCCTTCTGATGATGGGAAGGTAAGGAGCTTGCCTCACTAGATATAACTAAGAACTATTATAAAGCTATGGTAGTATACAGACCATGTGTTGTTGTTGTTGTTGGTAGGTGCCGTCAAGTCATCTCTGACTCACAGTGACTCTATGCACAGCAAAGTGACACACTGCCTGGTCCTGTGCCAGCCTCATGGTCCCTGCTATACCTGAGCCCACCGCCGTAGCCACTGTGTCAATCCATCTCATTGAGAGCACTCCCCTTTTTTGTTGACCCTCCAATTTACCAATGGTCAATTTATCTAGCCCTTTGCCAATGGAACAAGACAATCAAGAAACAGAACCACAGAGATGTGGACACTTGATTTATGACCACCAGGGCGCCTCAAAGCAAGAGGGATGAGATGGTCTTTTTAGTCAATGGTTTGTGGACAACTGAATATCCATATAGGAAAAAAAGTTACATCAGACCCTAGCTCACTCTATACAAGGAGCCGTGTTGATTCAATTGTTAATCATTTGGCTGCAAACCAAAAGATTAAAGGTTCAAACCCACCAGCTGCTCCATGGGAGAAAAGATCTGGTGGTCTGCTCCTATAAAAATTACAGCCTAGATCACACTATGGGGCAGTTCCACTCTCCCCTATATGGTCACTATGAATAGGAATTGACTCGTTAGCTTACAAAAACACAGCATCATTCAATATATAAAAACCCGTTCCCAGTGGATTTTAAAACAAAATATAAAAGGCAAAACTACCAAGTATAATACAGAAGAATATCATTATGCCTAAGGTTAGGGAAGAATTTTTTAAATGTACAAAAAGCATAGATCACAGAAGAAATGATACACTCAATTACATGAGACTAAGAATATATATTCATCAAAAGCCATAACTGGAAAAAGATGTTCCTACACTTATAACACAGGTTAAGTATAGAGACTATTATATAACATACTTTTACAAATCAAAAGGAAAAATAGGTAAAAGATCTGAACAGAAGAGGAAGCCCAAATGGCTAATAAACACATGAAGAGAGGCATCCTATCCCACCAGACTAACAAAAATGTAAAAGTCTGGTAAGGTTGTAACAAGAAAGCAAAGAAATAGAGCATTTAGACATTGGCGCTAGGTACACAAATTGATTAACTATCTTGGAAAACAGCTTGGAATCACCTGATAAAGCTCAAGATGTCCATACTCTATGCAATTCCACTCTCAAGGATATACCTTAGAGCAACTATTGCATATGTGCCCCAGCAGATCACAGCAATGTTCACTGCTCACAACAGCAAACACTGGAAATGACTCAATATTCACCAACACTCAAATGGATAAATAAACTGTAGCAGAGCTGACTCATAGTGATCCCTCGTTGGGTTTCTGAGGTGGTATCACTATAGAAGTAGATTGCCCAACCTTCCTTGTGAGGAGTGGCTGGTGGGTTTGAACCGCCAGCCTTCTGGTCAGCAGTCAAATGCCTTAGGCAACTATGCCACCAGAGCTCCTAAGAAGACTACTACACAAACATTAAAATGAATGAACTACATAGCTACATTCAACAATCTTGGGAACATAATGTTGATCAAAAAAGCAAGCTCCAGAAGAACACGTTTCCACTCATATAAAGTTCACAAATGTGCAAGATTAAATACATTGGTTAGGACCAGAAACATAACACACACAAATATATGTGATAAAACTATTAAGAAATACAAGGGATGATTAAGATAAAATTCAGGAATATGGATTACTTCTGAGAGGGGAAGGATGAGAGCAATTAAGAGACTTCAACTGGTAATGGGATTGTCCTTTTTCTGAACTGAGGGGTGGGTACACTGGTGTTTACTGTTATCTCACACATATTTTACAAATATTCTTTAGTACCTATTCAGTATGTGATTTAAATGAGGAGGAAGAGGAAGATAGAGCACAAAGCTGAACATCAAAAGACCCAAGGGCAGGTGCCCTTGGCACTAACTTCTGTGGACTCCAAGGCCCTCCTAACACCAAAATGAGGGACTTGAGTTCTACATCTCAGAACGCTTAGTGACAGATAAATGAGGGACTGCATTATTCTAAGTCTCAAATGTCAATGCATTGGGGGAAAATATCCAAATTCAACTTCCTGCTTTAGCCACACACAGTGTGTAAATGTGCAGGATGTGCGGTGGAGGGTGGAGAGGAAAATGTCTATATGCATATACAGGCAGACCCCAGTCAGGAGCATGGACTTACAGACAACTACTACTTGCCCTTTATTGTTATGTAGATTTGCCCTCACTTTGAAACAACTGAATCAACCCCTAAACCAAAACTCACTGCCATCAAGTGGATTCTGGCTCATAGCAACCCTACAGGACAGGGTAGAATTACCCCATAGAGTTTTCAAGGCTGCCAGTCTTTACAGAAGCAGACTGCCTTGTTTGTGGAACAGCTGGTAGGTTTGAAACGCCTTTGGTTAGCAACCTAACACTTTAACCAAATCTCCACTAGAGCTCAACCAACCCCTACTTGCAACAAATTCTACATAACCACCTTCGCTTGCTGCATATGCAGCTTTTAAATCATCCAGCCTTTTCTTGCACACACACAAAACTGACCCACTGTCATTGAGTTGATTCTGACTCATAGCAACCCCCACTGGGTTTCCAAGGCTGTAAACCTTTATGGAAGCAGATTGCCTCATCTTCCTCCCACAGAGCAGCTGGTGGTGGGTTTGAACCACTGACCTTCTGCTTAGCAGCCAAATGCTTTACCCATTATGCCACCAGAACTCCTTTCTTACACTCAAGTAAGGTTATATAAGAATTATATGCACCTGTTGCAACTGACCTACAAATTCTACTTAAAGACACAATTAGGAACAGATCTCATTCATCATGCAGGGACTGCATGTACACCAAAGTAAGTAGTCCACAGT